ACTCTGAAGCTCGGTGGGCCTGGTCCAACCCCGAATGCAGCCAGCGGGGGTGGCTAGAGCTGAAGACGGGAGCAGGATGCTGTGGCACAAGCTGCTTTTCGATCGGTCTTTTCAGCTGGCCTGGCGCAGGCTCCAGGGAAGCCGAGCTGCCAGGGAGCGAGGCTGGCTCCGGGGCTAGATTGCAAATCTGGGATTTGGAAGACTTGGCTTCCCTGTCCTGCCAGAGGCTTCTTGTGGGCGCAGGAGGGCTGGACTGATCTGTGGATGCCACTCTCCATGACACCCGTCCCGAGACCCTCCCGGCTTTCTTTTCAGCTGGCCTGGCGCAGGCTCCAGGGAAGCCGAGCTGCCAGGGAGCGAGGCTGGCTCCGGGGCTAGATTGCAAATCTGGGATTTGGAAGACTTGGCTTCCCTGTCCTGCCAGAGGCTTCTTGTGGGCGCAGGAGGGCTGGACTGATCTGTGGATGCCACTCTCCATGACACCCGTCCCGAGACCCTCCCGGCTTTCGGGGCCCTGGTGTCAGTAGAAACTAAAGGCACGTGCTGCCACCTGCCGATCGACAGGCAAATCGCTTCCTTTCTGGACCTGCAAGTACCTAGCTCCATCTGATCACTGGGCTCTTCTTTATTGCTATCTGCCTGACAGCCTCCCGAGGGCCTGTGAATAACACTGACAGATCCTGGCGGTCCCATTGTCTCCACCTCTTGCAAACGTCCCCCGGGGTTCCATGGTCTTCGTCTCCTCGGGCTGGCGCTGCGTTGCTGTGTGCTGTTGAACACAGCGCTTCGCCCCAGAGGTGGCTGCAGTAGGGGGGGGCCTGTTTGCCGTTCCGCAGCCTGCCCCCGGGCTGTGTCAGCAAATCATTCTCTGTGCGTCTCTGCGCGGCACCCAGTCGTCTTCTGAGGGGCTGGCTTTGCCTCTGCCCCACTCCGCCGTCGCGGCTCGGGGTTCTTTGTGGCCAAATTCAAGTCAGATTCTCTACCATGAGAAAGTGTGAGGGGGGGTGTAAATAGGGGGTTGTGTTTGGATTCCTGTCGGTGTGCGGCTCAGGGACTCTGTTCCACTCCTCCCTCGCCCCAGGGTGCTACGTTTCCCACCCTCTTTCCATTTTCTCTGCCGGGGGGCCCCTTCAACCGAACAGGCCTGGTGGGAACAGGGCCCTTGGTTCCCTGCCCCTGGAGGGGAGAGCTATATTCACATCTCCAACCCAAAATAGCGCTCTGGCCCTCTGGGGGCTGTAGTAAAGGTCACAAGTCAGCTAAGTATAGGCTGTCATCGACTCGCCCCTATATATAAGCACTGGGGCACTGGTGATAGCCCAGCTGTTAAAATCATATTGGCTGGGATCAAAGTGTTCCCAAGGTGTCCCAGTGTGTGTACACACACTCACACTCTCCCTCCCTCAGTGTGTACTCACACTCACACTCTCACTCTCACTCTCTCCCTCCCCAGTGTGTGTACACATACACACACACACAGACACACACACACACACAGTCTCTCGCTCCCTCCCCCAGTGTTTACGTACACACACACACACTCAGTCTCTCTCTCCCTCCTCCAGTGTGTGTACACACACGCGCGCGCGCACGCACACACAGGCTCTCTCTCCCTCCCCCAGTGTGAATACACACACACACACACAGTCTCTCTCTCCCTCCACCAGTGTGTACATACCACCACACACACACACTCAGCCTCTTTCTCCCTCCCCCAGTGTGTGTACACACACACACACATTCCCCCAGCAGGAGTGTATCAGTATACGCATAGGCTGTGTCTACACTGGGCCACTTATTCCGGAAAATCTGCCGCTTTTCCGGACTAAGCTGCGAGCTGTCTACACTGGCCCTTGAATTTCCGGAATAGCAACGATGCTCTACTGTACAAAATCAGCCGCTATTCCGGAAAAGCTATTCTGCTCCCGCTCGGGCATAAGTCCTTATTCCGGAACACTGTTCCGGAAAAGGGCCAGTGTAGACAGCCCAGTAGTCTTTTCTGGAAAAAAGCCCCGATCACGAAAATGACGATCAGGGCTCTTTTCCGGAAAAGCGCGTCTACATTGGCCACAGATGCTTTTCCGGAAAAAGGGCTTTTCCGGAAAAGCAGCCTGCCAATGTAGATGCTCCTTTTCCGGAAATACTTATAACGAAAACTATTCTGTTTTAAGCATTTCCGGAAATTCATGCCAGTGTAGACACAGCCACAAGGTTTCAGGAAAGGACCCCTTCCTCAGGGGTGGCCCCCCTGCATTCAGCTACCTAAAAGCTCTGCCAAAGCCCCCACCCCCTCCAGGCCTGCTGCGAACGTCTCCTCCTCTTCCCCACACACCCCTGGCAGCTGCCCCCAGGCCTGACCTGCTGCCGCATGGTCTCTCCACACTGGGCCTGCCAAACGTGCTGATGCTTTTGCCCTAAGGGCCAATGAAGCCCAGCTGCAGAGAAGCAGCCGGTTCCTCCCCCCCTCTCTCCTGCAGAGGGATGGGCCCATGCCCCCCAAAAAAGCAGGAGGCTTCTGTGTCCATATCCCCCCCTCTTCTCCCAGCCAATGCGACTTAGTCTTGGGAGAGGCCCCGGGAGATGGCACCCGCGGTGCTGCTGTACTTGGCACGGCTCTCGTTAGGTTAGTCAGCCCCCGACCCCCCAGGGCCTGCTGGGGAGGGGCCGGGCAGCTCCAGGAGAACTCACTCCGCTTTGTCCCTCCCCCCTGCAGAGCGGGAGTCCCGCGAACACGAAGAGCCGACCACCTCGGAGATGGCGGAGGAGACCAACCCCCCCCGCCTCTCCGAGCTCAAGGCCGAGGCCCTGAAGAAGGACCGCCGGAAGAAGCTGACCCTGTCCAAGTTCGTCGGCGGGGCGGAGAACACGGCGCATCCCCGGGTCGCCGTCCCCGAGCTGAGGCAAGAGTTCGAGCTGGTGAGTGCTGGGTCCCGCCCCGGCTGCCCAGCGGCCGGTGCCCAGAGAGGACACTGGAGCCCCAGTGCCAGCTTCCCAGTGTGGGAGGGGTCTGGCTG